CAGCTAGGTTTTTTAAAATAGTTTTAACAGTTAGTTTTAGTAAGAGTTTTACGGCACTTGCAACACAATAAGGTCATATAAGTGCCGAAGATTAGAGGTGTTACAAGAGAGTAACAAACACAAAAAAGAAGGAGGGGAGATAAAGACGGTAGATGTTTGATAGGAAAGAAGAAGCAAACCACACCAGAGCACCCGCCAACCACCCGCTTATAGTTTTAACAAACCTTTTACAGCACTTGCAACGCAATTAGGTCGTACATTTATATATGTTTGTTTTAATTTTAGTAAGAGTTTTACAGCACTTGCAACACAATTAGGTCGTATACATTTGTTCGTTATAATTTTGTAAGTGTTTTACTGCACTTGCAACGCAATTCTCTCATTAAAGTGACCAAGATCACACAAAGCAATGGCATTTGTAATGGAAAATGGCATTTTGTCAGCGTACAGCAGAATATTTACAACATTGGACTGATAAATATGTGAGGCAGAGTGGTGAAATCAGGCGCTCGTCAAAATACAGAAATCGGAGAAACGCATTTTTCTGTCAGTTTGGAAATTTTTTTTTTTAATTTTTGTTTTTGGCTCAACACCTTCCATGCCCATTCAGAAACACTTTTATGTGTGGATTAAGGGAAAACATTGGTTAAAGCACGAAAAATATAAATTCGCAGTTTCCAAGGACTCTTGAGCTATGGAAGTCACCAATCTTTGGCGGCCATTTTCTCACTAATTTTATATCTGAAACCAGGCGACCCTATATCCTTCAATGGCAAATATCTTGACTTCTATTCCAGATAAATTGATTTTTTTTTCCCCCATCGAAACCAAGGCAAACGAACAAGCTTTCAGGCGATACCAATAACTCCATAAGCCCAAAAATTGATGAGCATCTGATTCCGCCACGTCGTGACACATATAAAAACCATCAAGTCGCTGGTGAACTGACCTCTGTTCCTGGCGGGCACCCGGGGTAGGGGCCTGAGGCCGTCTGTGGATGGACTACTGGTGCCCGAGCTGGCGTTGAGGTCCACACGGCCATCGCTGTCGCCGTGCGCGCCCTGGAACGGGTCCGGCAGGTACTTGGTGGACGAGCCCTTCTCGCCGCCGCCTTTCACGCACAGGTTGCCCATCGGGGAGAGACGTCACGTCTGCTGGCTGCTGCTTGTGTGTGTGAGTTGGGTGGTGTGGGGGGAACACTCACTCACACCCTCGCGCTGCTGGGGATGGAAAGGGGAAGAGCAGAGACGTTAATTGTTATTATTATAACAACCACCCACCCAGCGATCCCTTCCTGCCACTTTGTCGTGCACCCCACAAGTGGCAGACCAGGAAGTGAACTAAGTAAATAAAACAAGCAAAGCGGATTTAAGGCAGCCGAGAAATACCAAACAGAAGACAAAAGGTTACACGATACAGCCTTAGCGGGAATTATCGTAGACGGCTTTTTTATATAGTAGAGGTTTTACGGCGCTTGCAACTGCATAAGGTCATATGAGCGCCAGAAGATTAGTTTTAGTAAGAGTTTAGTAGTTTTAGTAGTTTTAGTAAGTGTTTTACGGCACTTGCAACACAATAAGGTCATATAAGTGCCGAAGATTAGAGGTATTACAAGGGAGTAACAAACA